CTTACTCTTGTCCACCTGAAGACTCACCAGTAGAAAAAGCAGTTCATCAAAACCACAGGTAAACTGAATCACTTTCTCCTCCAAATGAACTGCAAACAAACTACAGAACTTACTTTCCCAACCTATCAAAAATCTCAATTAATGGTCAAGTGGAAGATAAAGGGGATGAAATGCTCATTTGAAAATCAGAGGCATTCACAGAGGTATAAATATAGGCCTGTGTATATATATTAATATATAACAATAAAGATAGAGGTCTATGTACATATATTTATAGGTTAAGTATTAAAGGTAGCAGATGGACATTGGGCCTCTACTCAAACCCTCCCTCCTCAACACAACATTTGGTTCTACTAACCTGGCATTCTGTGGTGCTCACCTTCCCTACATGATGCTAAAGACAAAACGGGTGCATAAGCTAATGTGAAGAAAGTTGATGGAGCCCAGCTATTAAAAGATACAGCATCTGGGGTGTTAAAGGCTTGAAGTTAAGCAAGCAGCCATCTAGCAGGGAAGCAACAAAGCCCACACAGAAGAAGCACATCAGCCTGTGTGATCACAAAGTGTCAACGGGATCAGCTATCAGGTACCAGAAGGCCCAAAACAAGCAATCATATTGATGCAAATGACGGGGGTCAGAGTAGAGACCCAAATCCCATCTGTAGACAATTGGACATCCCCTCACAGAGGGGTCACAAGTAAGGGACAAACCAACCAGGTGCAGTATAGCACCTATAAAACACACAACTTTCCTCTGGTTCTTTAATGCTTCCTGCCCGTCTAACTATCATGACCCCAGTTCTACCTGACAAATCTGGCTAGATTGGATCATGTACACTGGTACAGTTAAGAGGTCTCAACATACGGAATCCAGGACAGAAAAACCCCTCAGGAACAGTAATAGTTGTAGTGATACCAGGAGTGTAGGGGAAGAGGGTGGGGGAGTGTAAGACATGAAAATAATAATTTATAAATTACCAAGGGTTCATGAGGGAGGGGGGAGGGGAGAGATGAGCTGATACCAGACGCTCAAGTAGAAAATGTTTTGAAAATGATGACAAAAACAAAAAAAAGAAAGAAAATGATGATGACAGCGTATATACAAATGTGCTTGATACAATTGATGTATGGATTGTTATAAGAGCTGTAAGAGCCCCCAATTCAACAAGAAAAAGAAAAAGACCATCAAGTCCTGGCACTTCTGACTTACAATGCTTCTCTGGGTGACTAACAAGCAGCCTAAATGCAAAACTGAGGAAATGAACCGCTTTAAAATCCAACAATGTGAGACTGCTTAATTAATGCCTCAATATTCATAAAGCAAGAAAGATTGAGAGAATGGACAGGAGGAGACAACAACTCAAATTCTTCTGACTAACTATGAAATAAAAAGCATTATTGTGTTCAAGTCCCTATACCCAATAAGTCTCTGTCTGGTTCTTCAACCTACTGGAGTCCAAACAGTGGAGAAGGGATGTATGAGAACTCTATATATTCTGCTTGATTTTTCTGTGAACTACTCTATAATTAAAAAAAAAAAATCCCCACAGAGGGGTCACAGGGAAAGGATGAGTAAAGCACCAATGAAACACACGATATTCCTCTGGTTCCTTGAGGCTTCCTCACCCCCCACTATCATGACCCCAGTGATGCCTGTCACTTCGGACTAGACCGGAGCATGTAAAGAGCCGTAGATAAAGAGCTAAGAAGCTCAGGACACACACAACCCAGGAGCAGGAAGGGGAAGAGAGATACTAGATGGGAAGGGTTAAGGGGAGGAGGAGGGGAATAAGGGGGAACTGCTGATCGACCCACAACCACACACACCCCTGCAAGGCAAAGAGTAGAAACTATGGGGTGAGATAGTGGTTGGTGTGAGACATGAAAATATTAATTTATAATCTATCAAGGGGTCATAAGGGGGAGAGGGGAGAAGAGGGGGGAAAAAGGAGCTGATACTAAGGGCTCAACAGAAAGTACCGTGTATATACTCAAGTATAAGCCAACCCGAGTATCAGCCAAGGCACCTAACTTGACTACAAAACTGCATTAAAAATGTGCTGAGAAACTCGGCTTATACTCGAGTATATACAGTAACTGTCTAGAAAAGGATGATGGCAACATGTACAAATATACCTGATACGATTGATGTATGGATTGTAATAAGCATTGTTAAGAGCTCTCAATAAAATTATTTTAAAAATAAACAAAAAGGCATTAATTCTCTAGACTATGTTTCTTCCAACTGAACTGGCCACTCCCCTCTGGGGTACTGAATAGCCAACAGACCATAGGAAGACATGGCTCTTAGTTCCTGTTTGAAACCAAAAGCTACTGCAAACCATTGGTCTTGATTCAGGGCCTAAGGCACTGCAAAAGCTCACACAAACATCCAATCTTCTGCCTATTGCTTTCTAAGAGCCTGATGCTAAACTCCTCACCCCCACCCCGACCCCGACCCCAGCAAAAATCACACTCACTGTCATGTAGGCAATGCTAACTCCTGGGGGCCCTTATAAAGCAGAGTAGAACTGCCCCTTGGGTTTCTGAGACTGAGTCTTTACAGAAGAAAGCCTCATCTTTCTCCTGAGCAGCAGCTGGTGGCTGTGAGCTGCTGACCTCACTGTTACCAGCCCAGCAAGTAACCACCTCAAGCCACCAAGGTCAGGAGTTAATCCCCAAGAGCCGCTCCCGCTGCACTTTTTCTGAAGTTCTGTTTCCGGTGATTTGGCTTCATGAGAAGTAACTTGGCTCTATGCTTTGAAAGCTCCGTTCATTATCCTGTCTTTCTTCAGTGTTCTCCCCACCAAAAATGAGAAGCGCCACCACGTCTTCAGGGTAATTAAAGAACTTACTAGCCTGAAATTATGCAGAAAAGCCAAAGGATCCTGCAGCTCTCCCTGATGTCTGTACTACAGGCTTCCCCTGCTACACAAAAGTATATAGAGTTTAAACCTTTTGAAAATCAGTATGGCGAAAAGATAAGCAGCAATTACCATCAATTTACACGGGGAAAAAATTTGTGCTTTCCCATACCCAAAAATTAATCTACAAAAGCTCACCAAATAACACAGATTTTTAAAATGCGTGCTGCAAGCACAGGTCAAAAGTACAAGTTTGACGCTGAGTGTAGTTCCCAGGGGGCTTTGCAGCACCAAGCTCACTGCTCCATGTGTGGCTTCTCTAACCGATCCTGCCAGATCCATGCTAAACTCGGTTCACTTTCCATGACAGCAAAAATCCTCTTCAGAGTGCCTGCAGTTAGTGAAAATGGGTACTAATGTGGGTCTTTTGTAAAAGCAAATGAACTTTCAAATGAGAGGAAACCTGCATCTATAAAAATCAGTGCTACCTCAGAGGGAAGGTTCTGAACTCTATTTTCTGGGGGGGAAAAGTTAATAAGCACAATTACCTTATCAATAACTAAGATTAAAATAAAAACATTTAATAAACAATGAAGCATGAGATCCAAGTTTCAAGATCACAATGGAGTGAAAATGTTTCCAAAAAAAAGAAAATGTTTCCAAAGGTAAATGGAACAGAAAAGGATTTCTCGCATAAAGTTAATGTTACAAAACTTAAAATGTGAGAGAGGAATCTAAGACAACGCATTGGCAAAAATGCCTCAATGTTAACAAGAATACCTAGAGGCTCAAGATCAGGACACAGAATTTGTTTGATCTCAAAAAGAGATTAAAACACATGAAAGAAGGGGCTCTGGAGGGAGGGAAAAAGGGAGGTCGGGTGTCAAAGTAGTTAGACTAAGGTATGAAATCGCTGTTCGCCAACCTCTGGAGCTTGAAATACAAAAAAACACGCAAACATAACATCTCCAGAATGGAAGGCTGGGATCTTTCTGATACTTGGTCTTGCCACACATAAAATGACACATAACTCAGAAAGGTTTTGCCTAGCAAAATTTTATACTAGTAAATATATCCTCAACTTTCATTTTGGTACTTCTTACAAATTTTTCCCCCCTCCCCCAAAGATCAATGGAAGATTAAAATTATTACTTTCTGGGGGGGAACCAATGTGATTAACAAAAGTATATTAACATGAACAAAATTGATGGATCAAATACAAATAGCTGGTTGTTTTGCATTTTTAAACCTCTTAACAAAGGTCCATCTTAAAACATTATTGAGTTCTCAAATAAGGTTACTGCTCAGAACCTTCTACTTTGAAAAATTCATGCCACCAACTAACAAATTTGATGACACATATTTTAGAGATTACTTAATTCAGGAAACAGCCTATAATCAAAATCACATCTCAAAATCTAACATTTTGTTCAGAGTCTCCAGAGAATTACACAGTAATTTCTAGAGACAAGTAAACTTTTAAAGAAGTACTTCCTGAATGTTAGAACCATCATTTTCTAAAACCAAGATTATCAATGTTTTGTGGAATAGCAATTGAAAAGTGATAGTAAAAGTGAAAAACTTTATTATGTGCCAAGTAGTCAATAACTCAAATGAAGTTGAAAAAGTTAATAATTTACATAGTATGTTCAGAGCACAAAATGTGGCTTTAATTTATACACATGCATTTTAGTATTTAAAGAAAATGGAATGCTCTAATTAGGCTAGCACAGTCTATACTGTTACTCATGTTATAAAGTCTTGTTAAAAAAAAAAAAAAAGCATAAGCAAATGTGGTGATGAAAGTTGATGGTGCTCGACTATCAAAAGATACAGCATCTGGGGTCTTAAAAGCTTGAAGGTAAACAAGCGGCCATCTAGCCCAGAAGCAACAAAGCCCACATGGAAGAAGCACACCAGCCTGTCGAAGGGATCAGACATCAAGCATCAATGAACAAAAAATCTATCATTGTGAATGAAAGGGAGTGCAGATTGGGGAACCAAAGTCCATCTGTAGGCAACTGGACATCTCCTTTCAGAAGGGTCGCGAGGAGGAGAGAGCCAGTCAGGGTGCAGTGTAGCAACGATGATACATACAACTTTCCTCTAGTTCTTAAATGCTCCCTCCCCGCCACTATCATGATCCCAATTCTACTTTACAAATCTGGCTAGACCAGAGGATGTACACTGGTACAGATAGGAACTGGAAACACAGGGAATCCAGGACGGATAATCCCTTTAGGACCAGTGGTGAGAGTGGCGCTAGCAGGAGGGTGGAGTGTGGGGTGGAAAGTGGAAACCAATTACAAGGATCTCCATATAACCTCCGCCCTGGGAGATGGACAACAGAAAAGTGAGTGAAGGGAGATGTGGGACAGTGAAAAGACACGGCAAAATAATAATTTATGAATTATCAAGGGTTCGTGTGGGAAGGGGAAGTGGGGAGGGAAGGGAAAAAATGAGGAACCGATACCAAGGGCTCAAGTAGAAAACAAATGTTTTGAGGATGAGGGCAACAAATGTATAAATGTGCTTGACATAATGGATATCCGGATGTATGGATTGTGTTAAGAGTTGTACAAGCCCCCAATAAAATTTTATATATATATATCACCTCTCTGGATTTTCAAGTATTAGACGAAGACAATAGGGGGAGAAAACAAAAACCCTGACCTTATTAATCTCAGACTATTCATTTATTCTCTTCAATATAAACTCATTAAAAAGGTTCGGAAGCACAGGAAACGTCAGAGTAAGACATGACAAAATATTAATAATTTATAAATTATCAAGGGTTCATGAGGGAGGGGGGAGGGAGGGGAAAAAAAGAAGAACTGATACCATGAGCTCAAGTAGAAAGCAAATGTGTTGAGAATGATGATGGCAACAAATGTACAAATGTGCTTTACACAACTGATGTATATATGGATTGTGATAAGAGTTGTATGAGCCCCCAATAAAATTAAAAGAAAACTTGATATATTAAAAAATAAAATAAATAAAAAGGTTCGGAAGCACTACAATAATTTTCAGTTTATGAATTCATGTGGAAAAAATTATTTACAAGCAATTATAACAGGATAATAAAAACCACACTATTATAAATGAAAACCAAGCCCTGTAAGTCTACAGATGAAAAAAGAAAAAAAAATTTTTTTAAAGAAAAAATTTTAATGTCCACTTTCTCCCCAAAGTAACCCTTTCCTAGTATCTCTCTCGTCTTGATATACCCTTACAGACACCCAAAACTGTCATCTCAATTATGCTGTATATTACACGTTACATGTAAGACCTTGCCAGGCAGTCCCAGATACAAGCAAGACCCTCTTCTATTTCTGCAGAATCTGTAGGTCAATCTGAACAAGTGCATCCCGTTCTTATTTCGCCCGCTTTGCTGCCAGGGAAAGGACCCCTGGTGGCACTGAGGATGAGGGCTTGGGCTGCTACCCAAAGGTCGGTGGCTCAATATCCAGTTGCTGCAAGGGAGGAAAACCGAGGTTGTCTGCTCCCAAAATACTGGACTGTGTCACCCCGGAATGTGCATTATAAATCATAACCTCTGTGCTCGTGGTTATAAATCTATATGGTCATGGTTTTTGCGGGGGCAGGGGGGGCGGGTGTTACGAGGCAGGATGAAATGAGTGTACCCTGTGTCGAGTGCATGTCCTTCACGATGAGATTAAACAGGCAAGAGAGAGAGGTGGGGGAAGAGAGGTACCGAGACCCATGAAGATTGCGCAGCAGCAGGAGAGACCTTCCTCCAGAGCTGAGAGCCCAAATTCAGACTGCCAGCCCCAACTGTGCGAAAACTTTACTTGCTAAACTCACTCATTTGTGATACTGTAATAGCATTAGCAGAAAAAAAATTTTTAAATAGCAGCATTAGAAAATTGAGAGATATTCATCAGTTCTTGGAGGTGAAAAAAAACGGAAAATTAGGGGGTCACAGAATCTCTAAATTCCATATATACTTGTACAAGCCGAGTTTTTTCAGCACATTTTTAATGCAATTTTTGTTGTAAAATTGGGTGCCTTGGCTGATATTCGGGTCGGCTTATACTTGAGTAAATACGGTACTCATCACACAAATATAAGTATACAAATAAACCTTGTTACCAGTCACCTGACTACAAAGACTAGACTAACCTTTTCTAATAAATAAATAAGGTCTGTCTCAAGGGCTACCCATAGCAGAGCTTCTCTAACTTACATCACTGAACTCCAGAGGTAAACTCTCAGTGGGCTGAAGCTCAGCAGCACTCAAGTACAGTTCCATGGGGCCGGCTTCCAGATCGTCTGGCACAGACAGTACCTGCTCGGGCTTATACATCTGGGGAGGCAACTGGATATGCAGTGGGCAGCAAGGATCCTCAGAGAGGCTTACAGGAACCGGTTTGTTGCAGGGTACCTCCTCAGACCCCTGGCAGCATTTGAAGAGAACCTGATTCGTGTCCTGACAAATATCTGCAGAAAAAATGGTTAAGGGAAATAAAACGAGATCTATCGGAGATACAAAATACAAAAACTATACAGTTGAAACTTGTCTGCCATATAAAATTCAAGGTCTGGTTAAGGCAAAATAATTAGTTACATTAGATAAAGAAAACCAAAAGCGGTTAGCATTTATAAAATTATTTCTCAAAATAAATTTCATTTGCTACTGTCTAATCCTGGTCCTAACAATAATCTACAGTAAATCCCATTTCGGAATCCTAGCCATTTAAATTTAAGACACTACTCCTGTCCTCTCATAGGAAGGTCAAGTACAGGAGAACCGCTACAAATACAGTGATAAGCAAATAGTACTAACCCTTCTAGAAACCTATCCCTACTCAGAAGTAACATTATGGCAATGCAAACAGCCTGAAGTGGTCCCTACCTACGCCTTCCAAGGGCTACAATATTGCTTCTGCTGTTAAGCAGTTTTGCAATTTCTTGAACTGTTTCAAAGACATGATTTCCTGATAAATTTATCTAAGATTGCAGCTCTAATGAGTCAGCAGGCACCCTGTCTTGTGCAGTCCCTTGGTCCAAATGGTTACCTCACTCAGCTGCTAGCCAGAAGAGTGACTGTGGTACCTCAGAGAAAGGTCTGTGGAATCTACTTCCAAAACACATTAGCCATTAAAAACCGAATGCAGCAGTTCAATTCTGGCACATATGGAGTCGTCCTAAATCAGAACGGATCAAAGACAACTTATCTCCTGCAAGGAAAAAAAATCTCCAAGCTTTTTTCCTTTTTGTTGAACAGGAGATGCAGGAGGATTCTAATAGGATCCTAAAGAGAAAAGGAAGAAAATAATTAATTTTCCTCGTGAGTCCTCAAGTAAAGGAAGTACTCCAAGATCACTCCAGGAATTCTGTAACAACTTCTAGTAAGGGTAGAAGCCAAGGGTTATGTTTCCAAGGTGACAAAGAAAGTCTGTAGAATGAATCAAAGTTGAAATCGTAATTAGTTAACAAATTTCTAGTTCAGATTATTTCTACAAAACACATTTACTTAAGGGTCCCCATTTCTTGATATCTAATTTTACATGGTTATTCCCCTTGGAATAGATGCTATTTAAACATACTTATTTTTAAATCAGAAAGCACAATTTTCTATAATTCTATTTAGAATTATTGATTAAGAATTATCTTAATCCTAAACATTTTTATTTTTAAAATTCAAAAAATCTAATGAACATTATAGTTTTAAGCCAATTAAGATTTCTAATTCTTTCTACCCATACTTAGTAATGGCCAGATTCAGAAACAGGGATTAACAATCCAAGAACTGACATTTTATGCCAAGTATCTTTTTTAATGTATTGCAGGATTTTAGCAGTCTTCCTGGCTTTTATCCACTAAATGTCCTTCAAGAAGCACCACCCCAACACCATTCTCTCAAGACATGTCTTCCGCTACTGCTAAATGTTCCCTAATACTGTTCTAAAAGAAGAGCAGTATTAGGAATTAAGAAATTAAGAAAAAGAACAGCAACCAGTGCTAAGTAAACAGTGACTTGAATGATCAAATGAAACATATTTGAATCTAATGACAATTTGGCTTGCAGATACAAACCTAAGCAGTCTCTCCTGTGCTTTAAATTATTTAAATTACTATTTAAATTGTTACTATTTAAAATGATAATCCACTCAATTAAATGTTTCAGGCAGGACTTTTCTTCATGGAATTCTAATGAGTTCCACAAGTCTCTTATTTAATACCAAAATATCCTGGGGGAAAAGGCTCCCCTCCCATCCTCCTCCACCCTCTTTCAAGTGGAAGGGCAGAGACAAAGAGAAGGGAATGGTTGACCTACAACTAGAGTGGTGGGTCCTTCACTCCCAGTCCAGGGCTGTCTCCATTAGACTAAAGAGTCACCAAGGGCAGTCGCATCTCTTCCTGGGGTACGGACTTAAGGAAGGGTAAGTGACTTAGACAACTGTGGAGTGGAAAAAGATCTTAAAAGGAAAATCAAAACTTCCCTTCTCTTTTCACATTACACTTCACTTCCAACATGACTTTTTAAAAGATCATTAACCTAATGAAAAGATGAGTATACTATTATAAGAAGCGTCTAAAACACTCCTTACTAACTGTAATTTAGAGAATTCTTATAAAAGTACATCAGACTCATTAAAACGAATCTGAAAAGCTTAAAGCAGAGGTAAAAATGATTCAGAATCCCACCATCTAAAAGCATTCACATTTCTTCTTTATATTCCCTCCCTCCCAGATTTTAATTATATACAGATAAAATAGACATACTCTAAAAAATATCTATTTTGTCACTAGCAAACATTTTCCTATGTCACTCAAATTTTGATAAGGCTAATTTATTTCTCTACTGACTCATCTTGAAAGCTGTCTTGAGTATTTTTCATGTAGAAGTATGAGTACTTAATTTTCTCCTTAAAATAATCCCCAAAGGTAGAATGACTACATCAAAGAACATGAGTAAAATCAAATGGCTTTCCAATAAGCTTGAGCATTCCCTCTGATTCTATTTAAGAGTCCAATTACCAGACCCTCAACTTTTAAAAATCACATACATCTAAAATTTTACATTCTTAACTATCTATACAATGTTAAATTTACACATTAAGATGTCTTTACTTTAAAAAAAATAAATGTTTACAAAATAATGATGGCAATATATGTACAAATATGCTTGATGCAATTGATGTATGGATTATTATATGAGCTCTAAGAGCCCCCAATACAATTATCTTTTAATTTAAAAAAATTAAAATAAGTAAAAAATATAGCATATGATGTCTTAAAAAAAAAGATGTCTTTATTGATTCCACTATCAGCCCCTTTCATCTTTCAAAAGTTCCTATCTAATCTTTTGCCCCATTGCATTTTGAACATCTTAAAAATTTTTATGTAGCACAAGCATTTATAGTAAAGATAACAATCCTTTCAGACATTTGTTGTAATGAATAGGCTAACACAATATTTAATAAAATAGTTTAAAGAAAATACATTTAATATTTTCCAAACATTTGGAGAATGGAGATCATATTTACTAAGGAAGGATCTTTTCTATCAAAGTAACTTTCCCAATCATTGTCCCTAATAAAGATTTTATAATCTTTTTACTTTTACAATCCAATGGAAAACTCAAAACGTTATATAACCCAAAGGTAAATGTAGTTCTCAGCAGAATCAAGAGATACTATAACTATTCAAAGACAAATCAAATGAAAAGGAGAAAAGTATTTCATTTTTTAAAATAGGCCATTTCTAATTTGAATGAAGTTTACAAATTGAAGCTAGGGCCCTGGCCATACAAAGGGACAATACTCAAAGCAGGGCCACAATTCCCACCTGTCAGCTTTAGGCTAAAAAAAAAGCCCTTCCACAGTGATTTTCTTGGTAGTTAAATTCAAAAAGCATTATCATTCTAAAGACCCATTCAAACTCAGGGATCCTGGTTAAGACCACAATTAACAATCCACATCTGTAACTGACTCAGATGTTTCTTTCTAATGAATTGACCATTACATTTCCAAGTTCTGAAATGGCCAACAGACCATAGGAAGACATTTCTTTAGGCTCCTGCTTGAAGCTAACAGCTCCATCAAACTGTTAGCCTTGATTCAGGGCCAAAGGAAACTAAAGGCTTTCGATTAAGCATATAAGCCCCGAGTTTAAACTCCCACCAGCCCTGACTCTCACAAGCAAATCAGAGTTTAAGCAAGCAAAGCAAAAAGATACGGGTAAGACAATGTCTGGTCATTGGAAGAGACTGATTGGAACAACGAACATCATCCACAAATGCCAAGCATCTCTGACTGGACCGAGTAGTGTGGGCCTAAAAGGGAAAAAAACAGATACATCAGGAAAAAAATAATTATATATACCGGTGTGTGTGTGTATGTATGTATACATAACCCTGTTATCTATGATAATACTTAAAATACCTTCCATGTTCCAAAAACTCATATTATAGCCTAATATTTTCCAAACAAATTTGTCTTTTAGTAGAACCCTTTTTAATATAACCTTGACAAACATAATGAACCAAAATGGATATAACTATGTTCCCTGAAGGAGGGACCATGACTTAAACATATTTTAAAAAACCAAATAAATAAACAAATAACTTTTAAAAAGAAAAGCCACTTGGCTGTTTGCTATCAACCTTACTTTCTAACATTCAATTGCCCCTATTCTTCTATCTATATTCTTGCTTTTCTAAAATGAGATTCTTAAAACAACTTAGGTTTAATCCACACCTGTTCCTAAAGTAAGGAATTTCTAAACCAAGAGAGAACCCAATTCCAAACACCCAATTTACAGATGAGAACCCTGAGGCCCAGTGAACTGACGTCAACAGTGAGCTACACGGCAGCTACATGGCTCTTAAGTGCTGTTTCCAATATATTCCAAGTCCCACAAGTCAGATTTGAGAGCCAAAACACACTAAAGTACTTGGACAAGTAGCTTAACCTTATTAGAACCGACACAAATTACCTGTTGAGAGGCACCTTCTGTGGCCAGCATCCTTCGCTCCCTCAGCTGCCTGTGTAGTAAGGCTTCGACTCCGTAGCGTTGGCGATATCGCCGAAGGCATTTAAGGCGCTTTAAGTTCTCCCGTTCTTTAGCCAAAAGTCCCTCTGGACCAGTCAGGAGGCTACTACCTAGAGGGTCACAGCAGTCCAGATGTTATGTGCTATGCACCCAAAAAAATGCTGCTCTAAACGATCAAGGAATAGCAGGGAAATCCATTTACTCCCTGTGGGGCGGTTTAAAAGTACACTTGACCCTCCAGTACAACTCCTTACAAAAGGAGAAATTTGTTAACTACCAAATTCACAGTTTGGGCCCAGGATAAGCTTTGCTTCAACTGCCACAAATTTTACCTAGAGCTTCATGTTCCATCTTGCGATTGTGTAAATAACGGCGTTTCTTCTCTTTGAGCAGATGCTGAAGTCTTTTAAACTGATCGATGTACAGAGACTGCAAACGAATTAGTTTCTCGCGCATAATTAGGGCCACTTCTTCTGCTGTGTAGACACCAGCATGTCTGAAATGAGAATTCAGCAAAGCATTAAAAAAAAATTTAATAAAGCCCAAACTTAAAATAGAGGGGTCAGATTTGGTCTGTTATGTACTGTCTTACTCAATACTGAGATGTTATTTAGCAGGAATGCTTTCACAGAACATCTTATAATTCAAGTTGCTATGAAAAGAAGAACAAACCCTCAGACTATATGAACTAGATGTCTGGCTACCACTACCAATTGCTCTGGAAGTATCACATTAGAAGATGCTGGGTTGAATGGAAGAAAATATGGAGCAAACCTAAAATCATAGAAAAGACCAAGCTTATTATTTAGAGAGAAACTGGTGGAGCCACCAAGACTGGCGTTTCATCACCCACCCTTCAGTCTAGGGACTAACCTCATTCCCTCATGAAAAGAATCAACCACCGAGGATCGAAAGATGATTTTCACCCAAAGACCATGTTCAGAGGGTTAAGAAAGGAGGAGCAGAAAGAGTAACTTCATGATGCCTAAGGTTTAGGCCAAATACCTAGTCCCTCCCTTGTTTTCTCTTTCCAAACTGGTTGGAAGCATTTTTGAACCCACACCGTACTTCCAACTCCAAGAAATTTCCTTTTTCTCCCTTCAAGGAATTTTCCAAATTTTAAGACTTTAAAAACAATCAAAATCTGTCTTGAAGCAAGATGGTGACAAATCATAATGCAGAGAAGCTAATACTGCTAACAACAAACTAGGCCACCATTCTGAGTATTCATCCATTAAGACCAACCGTCATTTTTTTTTTTTAAAGACCAACCATTATTCTAACCATTCTAGGTTACTCCTCCATTAAGACCACATGCAGTACAATATTGCACATTTGAATTACATGAAGCATTCAAGAGCCATATGTGAAGTTGCAACTTACTTGAGAGGATCTTCTTGATCACTGTCTATGCTATCCGCTTCACTGTCAGGGTCCCCCCTCCATGTCTGATCCACAGTTAGGGGTTCCTGCTCCCCCTCACTCCAACTGTCTTCATCTGAGTTGAGGAAGGAAGAGGGGCAATTAAGACAACCCCCCCTTCTCTAACTCTACCACACAAGACCAGATTATTTAATACATCAACCTAAAATTTCAAATTAAAAAAAAAACACAATTTAGTACAGAGGTACTGGCAAATAAAAAACATATACATTTAACATATACATGTATATAATGCCATACATAAATATTAATATTTAGTTTACAATGTAACTTTCTATGTGTGCACATGGCAATGGGCTCAAACATAAAAACAATTGTGAGGATGGCCCAGGGCTGTTTGTTCATTCTGTTGTTCATATGGTCACTATGATTCAGATATACATACACATACATACATATATCTACCCCAGTTAGGTAATCTAATTGAATTAACCATGCCCTCTCCAAAAGCTAGAAATCCCAAATCCAAAATATCCCCGTTTCCTAAAATTGCCAAGTTGTTAAACATAAAGATAGCAATGCAAGAGAGGGAAATGTCATAAACTAATTTTAAGCACACATTACGTCAAATCCAAAAGAATTAGCAAAGGACATAGCAACCTTGAAATTGTATTATCAAGTATCATATTTCATGCACCATATTAAAGCAAAAGCAATATTCCCTTTTCATTTGGGGAGAGAAGACTCTTACCCAGAATGCGGCTGGCTTCACTGCGGCTACTTTCAGGAGTCTGAGAACCCAGCTCTGTCTTAGCATATGAGCTGAGCTGGCACAAGAGGGTTTCACCTATAGGCCCTGGGTTCGACTTTTTCATTTGGGCCTGAAGTGCCATGGCATTCCTACGGGCATGTTCAGCACAGAAGGATACCCTAAAGAGACAAATATTAACACTGTACACTCAGGCACCTGCTTGAAAAGATTCAATGATTTTCATCATCAATTCAATGATTTTCAAGTTTTTAGGAAATTAAAATCATTTTTACTTACTCCTAAATAGGTCAATGTATCAAAAAAACTTGCCCTAAGGTACACTCGTCCTATGTTATTAAAAAGTAGGTAGCGTAATCTACCCTAACCATCCCAATCATAAAAATGCTGGCATCTTGGGAGAGCAAATCTGGGATCCATTCTCATCTTTCAAAATTGGTTCTGGAAGCCAACCCATTTAAAAGCGACCCATTGCCAATAGAATCTGGGTCAATTTTATAACTGGGAGTTACATACAAAAATCATTTACTGAAAATTGGGGGTGGAAGGAGGCTTGGCATCATTGGATACCTTTACTCTTAGGGCCGACAATGCCTCTCCCATATAAAAAGGCACATTTACACAATTTTGAGTGTGTAGCAAAGCTCAGAATCAGGGAGGGACCCCAGGGTTCAGAATAAAATCCCTTCTTTCACAAACCAAAGACCCAAAACAAATGAGCCTAACTCATCCAAGGTGACAGGAATAGCACCCAGGTCTCCTCTCAGCAGTTT